TTCTTCTTGGACAAAAAATGCCTGTACGCGGTGGTCTCACCGTCAGAACTGTAATTCAATTGATGAATGCATTGCTCTGTGATTGGTTGGGAAGAGAACACGGCACTTTCAGCTCAAACGGAGCCCCCCCAACAGTGTCGGAGTGCAGCGACAAGCTTTTGGACAAGTTCTTCACCTCAGAGTTGAAAAAAGACGAAGGACTGCGCACACTTTGAAAATCAAACAGTGAACAGTAACGGGAAGGCTATTAAAGGAACCAAATGAACAGTGCGAGCGGCGAGCGCTTCTTCAAGGAAGCTCCCCTCGCCCTGAGGCAGGTGGAGTTTCCTTGAAGAAGCTTGAGCTATCCTGCGTCCTACCTAGGAGCTAGGAGCTAACTTAGCCCTTACTTAATTATTATATAAGTAAGTAGGTAGAGGGGCAGAACGGCCTTCAAAAAAAAGGATGTTCTGGAAAATGATGATAATCTATGATAATGATGCAAGGACTTTGAGTCAACTCTGAGTCTTTGCATGTCTTGCCCTTCCCCCTAAAACACAGCAGGACTAGACGTCGTGTCTTACAGGTGCTTGAGTACCCAAGAATAACATAGCATCACATTGAAATTATTCCAAGGTGTATATATATATATTCCCAACTATTCCCACATCACATGCATTTTCAACACATCTTCCAGCATGTCAATGTTCAACAGGCCTTTCTCATCCTTTCTCCACATGCTTGTTCAAGCCCCAGGATGTCAAATCCTCTTGACATCTTGAACTAAGGGAGGTCACATGTGACATATTAAGGCACCGCCGTCGTAAACCACCGGAAACCGGTCGTCTCTTGGTGTCACACCTGCTTCTCTTTGTCTTGTGCAAGACCATCTGTTCGGTCCTCCAGAGCAAACGGAGGCACGACAACAAGTGCGGCCAGTCTGTGCATGAAGTGCTAATGCAACAGGGTGGACAATTCTTGAGTTGGAGTAAGCTAACCTAACGACGGATGTTGTGGCTTTCCAACCCAAGCCATCAGGCAGCCAAGAACAAGGACGATGATGCAACTGATGTCCACCAAAACCCATGGCCTGGCCTGGACTTGCAGCATGGAGGAACCCTGAAGCAAGTGCTCGAACTCTGATTTTGGTTCGGTCAGTGTATTGAGATCCCTGCTTAGCATTGAACATATTCGAACATCTTTCAGCTTTGCCATAAACTAAACTCGTTCTTAGAAAATCAGCATTTGAGCAAGTTAGTGATCTTAGCGCACAAAGTCTGGCCCCATCTCGGTCGGAAACCTTGCGAGGTACCGGCGCGTCCTCGGACCAATGTAGTTGGACTGCACTTGGTAAATCCGCGTTTTGATTCCGTTTCAGCCCAAAAATATCGGAAAATCGTAAAATGCTTGTAGCCATCCAATGGGGTAAGAAACTGACTAGACCATCTGCGAGCACATTGGGCTTAGGATCTGACACTCCTACTTGAGAGACGGCCAGTTACGTTCCATGAGGCAGGCACCGATGTCAAGCGTATCGAGCCTGGGCAATTCCAAGGAGCAAACGCAAGAATTCCAAGGAGCCAAGGCAAGAATTCTAATGCAAAGGAGTCTGCCCTGCAGTCAGTTGACTCTTGACTCAGTAACTCAGTAATTACCCTTGAGTGGCCTTGGGCCAGTTGTCCCAAACCTGCCAAAAGATGAAACATCAAAACATGTTCAGACCATGTTCCCTCAAATGCGGCAGAGAGGCGCAAGAACTCCTCCGCCTTGTCACTTGTATGGGCCTTCCGTACCTCTGATGCGCCGAGCAAAAGCACGACTGGGTGAGGTGGCAAAGAATGCCAAGTAAGGAAACCTCACAGGCTCCCTGGAAAGAACCCGCAAAATGGACCAAGTGACCATGCTTGCCATCTGCTTCTCCTCTGCTTCTTCGATCTCTCTCAGCTTCTGCCACACATCAATCTGCAAGGCCGCTGCTTTGCAACCCACAAAGGTGATTGCAGACTTGCAATCAGCCCGCTAGCCAAACTGAGGATTAACACATAATTACAGTAATATACAGTAAACAATTTGCTTTGACTCTTTGATTGGAAGTGCAAAGATCAACTGGAACGGCTGCATTGAAGGAAAGGAACCCCTTTTCGCCCGCAGCCCACCTGGAGCTTTTGAAATGCCTCGTGTTCCTCTTGAAGAAAGCCGTTCCGGCCCTTCCTTGATTTGCTAAGCTGCATGGAAGTCCGCACCTGTGATATTTTGGTTCTGCGCTCTGTTCCGTTTGTTGGTTGAGGCCCTGGGACCGGCGCAAATCTTTCGCCATCACTTTGAAAATGGCCAGAAGTGCCTGCCACTTGGTGCAGCGTGAGAGCGTCTCAGCCATCACGTGGCCTTCTCCATGAAGATTGAGGTCAGTCTATATCTGTCTATTCTCACAATTTCTAGTAAAAAAAACATTGCCCACAATGTTTGATTAGTCCACTTCCTGTGGAGTTTCCAATCGTCTGTGACAAACTCAAAATTGTGGTGCAACCAAGCTTCAGCGCATTCAATAACACTCAATACATTTGTGGTGTCATTTCAACCTGGAGTTCTTTCTTGGGTCTGGGCATCCCTCGCACCTAAACGCAGTGGACAAGAATCAAGGTAAAAATAGGTAAAACCATGTCCAATGTCCACCAAAGGACTCCGTACTTACTATCTATAATCGTATAATCAATGCTGCCTCCTGAATGAAACCTAAAGGTATTTCTACAGCGTCTGCTTCCCTACCATCCCGTATCGAGGCTACTGCCTTCTTGCCCAAGGCTACTCTCACCCTTGGAACCCACCAAAGTTCAGAGCTGCTTGCGGCCTTGTCAAGCAAACTCACCATTTTGGAGGAGCAAAACTGCCTAGGCCACACACACGACATTCGACTCATTGTGAAGTTCATCGAATTCCATGTGGATTCGACAACTTCTTACATAAGATGCACATCGGAGTCTTTTCGGGATCCATATGGCAAACTATAGCAATAAGCTCACTAAGCCAAGTGACTGCATGCCCTTGAACTTTGTCAGCATACTTTGAGTCACTGTCGCCGCCTTGCACACAATGCATTGTCTCACGCCACCGACTTTGTAAATTCAACTGGCTAGAGGCGAATGTGTAGCGATGGCCATCGAAATTGCAGTGCATGGTGTCTTTCCAGAGCTCTTTTGAGAAAAGCGATGTGAGCTGACATGTGACATGTGGGTGAACTGGCCCTCTTTGATTGACTCAGGCCGTCGCCATACCCACCATGATGGCATAGGGCAACAGGTCGGCTGGCCGGATCAAAGATCCGAGGACCACCCACATCAACGTCTTGGTGGTCACAGTGCGTGTCGTGCGGAGGGGACCAATGGCTTACCAACAAAGCTGTGCCAAAAGCTTGAGAAATCTTGAGAAGTTACCCTTGTCAAAGCAGGGCCAAAGGAACAAGCAATGTTTCTTGTTTGTGTTGTGTCATCCACCCCGCAATTTGATGCAAGGTGCATTTGTGACGAAGAGGATGAAGGCGGAAATCAGCACATAGGTCACGCCTCAATATAAAGATCAATAAAGTATATACAGGTTCCAGGTTCCAGAAACTTGCAGCAACTCCGGCAGCTCCCAAAGTTAGTAAAGATGGATGGCTTGAAGAAGAACACCACCAGCTGCAAAAATCGGTGCAGTGCTCTAACTCTTCATCCTTGAGCCGGTGGGGTCTTTGATCCACTTTGATCGGATGACTGACCCCCTTAAAGCCGCCGAGATCGCCAAGTGACATCGGATGGCATGATCGGCATAGCCAAAGAACCTGGACGGGCTGCTCAATCGAGAAACAGTGTTGTGTGCTATCAGGCATTTGTCTGGGAATGAGCATCCCTGAGGCCAAGCTTTCGAACGCAGGCTTTAATCTAACGGCTTAAATCCAACATGTGCGCACGTGTCGCCAAGCAGATCGTCGCCAAGTCACGGCTCGAATGGCTTCAACCTCGGAATGGATCTCAGCACCATGCCTTGGCAAGCGCGTGCATAGCGATGACGCAAAAAAAGGTCTGAGATGGGTCAACGGGACGTCTGAAGGGTTTATTCTGCAAAAATCCCAGGCGAATCTGAAGAGAGAATTGAATATATACTCAAACCAACTTCTCGTGTATAGAATATACTGTATATGCACTAACTAGGCGGACGCTTTCTGTTTAATACTCCTTGAGGGCTCATCTACCCCCCTCTCGGCGGGGGACCCCCCCCCTTCGGAGCCTTTCCGAGCCATTCAATCCGAGCTGCAGTACGCAATGGTGGCACCAACGAGGAAAACATAAAGCACAGCAGCACCTGTGGGTGGTGAACATGGCTCATGGTGGCGGTGGCCCGTGATGGCTCCATTCACAAGTGATACATTGATACATGTGAGCAGTGGCAGCTAGTCGCTGCTAGTCATGTTCATGTCCAGGTGCTTCTGTCTGCGGTGGGCGTGGGCTACACTGAGATAGGCTACAGCAAGTCCCTTCTTTGAAGCTGTTCCCGAACAACATGTAAGCAGTGGTCTTCCAAGTGTGCCTTTGCATGTGTCCAGGCTTTCGCCAAACTGTTGCAAAACGATTTAACCCCATTTCAGCTCCTGATGGGCATTGGCCTTAAGCCATCTTAAGCCCACAAGGGGCGTCTTCCCCGACCTTGAAGGATCTGCATCTCCAAATCAAGGCTCCAAAAGCGGAAGAAGGAAGGAGCCACGATGAAATCCAACCTCGGCCGCACGGGTTTGGAAGTGAGGCCCTAACAGGATGGAATGAAGACACACAAAGAGAGATGGATGGACCCCCGGCCCGACCGTGAGAAAAACAAAATATCTTCACAAACAACCATGGGCAGGTCGCTGGGCAATCAATGTGCTGTCTGGTGCAACGTCAGTCCGTGTAACCCTTTGAGCGACGTCAGTCCGTGTCGCCCGTTTGACATCGGTCGCTCCGTCGCTCCGTCGCTCGTCCCAACTCTAGGGCTCCCTGCAGGTAGTGATGTTGTCCAGCATCCCGCCGAAGCAAGTCTGCTCTGACAGCTGCATGAACTCCATCTTGACAAACAGCCTGGGGTCGGTGCTCTTCTATGGCATCCTTGTGCTTGTTTAGTGAATCACATCCACTGCAGAGTTGAGTTTTATAAATAAATAAATGTATGTGATACACCCGACTGACGGGAAGAGAGTTGAAGAGACTGATCATGCTTGTTCTCAGAACAATGGACTTCCATCGCACGGACACTCGCGGAAAAACAAACAGCGCCTTGCAAGATATATAAGTTTCAAAATGATCATCTATCGGATGCAATCTTTGCGACAGGTGGGCGGACATTAATATTTAAAGTACCCATTCACCCACTCACCCATGCACGCATGCACTCACCCACGCACGCACCGACCCAACAACGCACTCACGCACTCACCCATACAATATACAACATATCTCGGATTCACGTCGTCATTGGGCTGAGTCCAAGTCACAAAAACCAGCACGAGGACTACTGGCATCACCACAGCGGCCTAGGTCGCAAAGGCTGGTGAAGTCTGGAGTTCATATCTTGATCGATCCTGGTTCCGCAGGCCATGGAACAACGAAGCCTTCTCATCTTTGATCCGGCACGCAGGTTGTTGCAGCCCACCCCAGCTGAGTCATTGGCGATGTTCCCCTGAGCGAAATGTCGGGGGGAGCTTCATCAAAGGTGATCAAAACATCCCTCATAACTGCTTTATATAAATGAACCTGTGCAATATGCATCGATATGCGCGACAATTTTGTTGCCATTGCTGCGGGCTTCATTGCTATGCCACCCTGTCAAAAAAATGAGCCCTTTTTGAATGACAGGGAAAATAGGGAAGTCAAATGGCGAACTTGCAGGGCAGGACCCGAAGCCCGGATCTCCACAGACCAAAAGATCCAAGAGGCATAAAAAAGAAAGGTCAAGAAAACAGCGCGTATGCCTGCGGGGCGCGGTGGCAGGTTCTGGCGGTGGGTCAAGCATGCGGGACAGCAAGTCAGAATTGATTGATCATGGAAGGCCCTTCAAATTTGAAGGCAAACCCGCATAGGAAAACATGAAAAAAGAACACTCTAAGTGGGATATATAGGCCGATGATCTCACATCTAAACACTCAACAGTTTCCCTGAAGCCATGCATCTTGTGAGATCAAACCCTCAAAAAGTTTCACAACCATAAAACCAAAAGCTGAACATGTGTTTGTTCCTTGAGCTAGTAACCAGGTCACCCAACTCTCATCCTCTTTGATATTGTGTTTTGGCTTGGGTTCTATCGATATAAGGATCCGCGCCCCCGCCGCCTTTCCCAAGAGTGCCCTTCAAATGTTCAAAGGGAAGGAACCGATACCTTCGCAAAAGGCACGGGTGGGGCATTTTGTGCTTGAGACTCGTGCACGTTTGCAAGTGGAGGACTGTGAGGTAGAAGACTGGTGGCGGTGGAGATCAACATCCTAAGCGGCGAAACTAAATGTGATCAAAGGTTGAACTGAACTGAAACTGGATGAACCGGATGCTGTCCACAGGGCGCACTGAAGCAATGGATCACGTCCCCACTCATCACTGTGCCTATCAAATCTGGCGAAAGCCGCATGTACCGCAGCTGCCGTCACTTGCTATATGCTTCAATGGCACAAATGCCAGGGTCACGGCAAGGCTAGCATCGCCAACAAACAAGTGAGAGGGCAAGTGGGACCCTTTGAGATGCACCTTTTCTCCCCGCAGGCAAACATGAATAAACAAATAAAGCACAATCTGAAGTCACCATATTGAGTCATTCCATAATTCGACGGCATTGGAAAAAATCTGTATAATTGTATAACCTGAGAAGGGAGGGGACGAAAGCAAGCCTGCGCGCTAAGGGGGGGTGCTCTTAGGGTTAGGTTGGCGTTTACAGGCATGGCCGCGTGTTTTCGTTTTAGGTCACCTGGTACCCCTGAAGAGTGATAATTATCACTCCATTTTGTAATTATAAATCTTTTGGATAGTGGTGTGACAAAAAGCACTCCAGAGTGGAAAAAATCAGTCCAACCGCAATTGCGTTCAGATTGCGTTCGCATTGCGTTCACTTTGCGTTCAATTAACGTTCGCTTTGCGTTCAAGATACGTTGCGGAGCAACAAAAACCATTCTGGAACAACTATTCTCACTCCGGAGTGCTTTTTGTCACACCACTGTCCAAAAGATTGATAATTACAAAACGGAGTGAGAATTATCACTCTTCAGGGGTACCAGGCAGGGGTGTGTTAGAGGGCAGAGTGGAGAAAGAGTAGCCGGAAGTGGTGAAGTTGACATCGCAGCCACTCTCATCGGAGGCTGAAATGGAAAGTATAGTACACAGGTTCGGGGGAGGGTGCCTGTTTTCGTCGTGGTTCGGGCTCGTTTTGGAGGTGAAGAAGGGCACCCTGGAAGGAAGTGAGGGGTGGTAGCTTGCTGTGTAGGACAGATACCAATCAGTGAGCAAAAATAGTTATGGGGGGTCGAGGGGGGCGATGTTATTCGGGAGAAGACATATATGTATATAGGTAGGGTGGAGAAAGAGTAGCTGGAAGTGGTGAAGTTGACATCGCAGCCACTCGCATAGAAAGAGAAACAGAAAGTATAGTACACAGGTTTGGGAGGGGTGCCCATTTTCGTCAAATGAAAAAGGGCACCCTCGAAGGAAGTGAGGGGTAGTAGCTTGCTGTGCGGTGCCGATCAATAGGCAAATCAGGATTTTGGGAGGAGACGTATATGTATATAGGTAGAGGGCTGGAAGTGGTGAGGTGGATATTGCAGCGGCATGCCCCCAACAGATGGCATCATGCACCCCATATGGGGTGCCCTTTTGCACGGATAAAGCCCCTATAAGCAATTCAAAGCCTTCCGCCTCCAAAGCGTGCGCGCTGCAATCTGTTCTCTCTCCTGCCCTCAACCCCCCAAGCAACTCAAAACCTTCCTGCCTTATCCACGTAAACTCCCACCGCATAGGGGACCTCACTAAAGCAGGGCGTCCCCAAGCAACGCCGAGCTTGCCCGCAACTGCAATCTGTTCTCTTTCCTGCTCTCAAGCATTGGAATTCTAACCACTCCTCTCATCCACGTGAAGTCCCACCCCTAGTAAAAACAGTTTACATGGTCTCTGAGCCCCTCATAATGCTGATGATGCACTCTTCGCCGTCAATTACATCACTTGCATCACAACACCCCAAAAACCATTCATTTTTCACTACCTCCGGGCCACATCTGTTTTTCGCGCTCCCCCACCAGGCTCTGGGTTAGCCTCTCTGAGATTGCCCCTCTCGCAACCACCCCCCCCCACACCCCCTTTAACTCACTTCCTTCGCACAGCTACCTCAAGCCTTGCCTATCGGCTGGCTTTCGTGATAATGTTGCCTATGCAGTGCTTGGTAGCATTTGCCGTGCAATCATATTGGATTGTTCTGAAGGTGCCATTGTCTTACCTATGAAGCTCCTAGCTATGTCTCTCTGGATTGGTGAACGGTCCTGACAGATCTGACAAGTTGGTCAGATCTGGCTCAGACACTGGCTCACTCACCGCTTGTCGTAGTCTCGCGATGCAACAAGATCCGCAAGAGCTGGGCACTCGTCAAGGTGCCCGCCATGCTGTTCAGTACCCGCTCCTCAGCGAGATTAGTGTGATGTGTAAAGCCACTGTGTACCAGGTCGTGATGGGGTTCTCTGGTAGGAGCCACCCCCCACATTTGGTGCCATACCTTGGTGAACATGCATTGCCTGTGGGGGATCTAAAGTTGATCTAACTCCCCACAGGAATTCTGAGTGAGCATCTGGAACTCCGGCATGTGGTCATCACCCCTCTTGAGCTTTGTGTCTTTGGATCTTGCAGCTTTCCTATGGGCCCAACAGCTTGCCTGAGATTTGGGATTGTTCCGCAACAAAAAGAACAACGACCGACCAAACAACCCAGTTGAACTGGACCGTGTGATGCCCAAAAACAACTCGGGTTTACATGGTGCGAGTACAAGATTTGTATAACAAGCACTGTTGTTTTCTTCATGCTTTGATTCGATCTCCGAATTGGAACGGAGCATTTCGCCCAAATGCAGCCATGAGTCGGGAGCAGGAAGTTCCAGAGGAGCCTCCTAGCAAGTTTCACAGATTTCGACCAGCCATAGCGTAGACATGAATTTGGAAAAGGGCCTGATAGGACCTGCACATCTATATACATTACCTGCCTTGTGGGGTAACTGGGCAGCTTGCCACCAAACATGTTCCAGGTCGCTATTCAGTTGGAGGCCGTTACTACCAGTCACAAGAAGCTACTAGTAGCAAGAAGCTGGTAGGTTGGAGACCCATCCCGACTGGACGCATCCGAAGGAGACTGCAGCTGAGTATCCAAGCAAGCAGCCAGCAAAGCGCTAAAGAGCTCTTCAATCCCCTCGCCAGTCCTTTCACAGCTCAACAACTGGTGAGCAGGTTTTAGCCTGTCAATACATTGTGCTTGGGGCAGTGTGACGCATTTCCTTGACTGCAAGATCCTCGTTCACATTTTCTGGGGGGCTCTTTCCAAATCCAACCTACTCAATGGCGTTAGCATCAAAGCTATGCCGGGTTAAACTGCGGCGCCTGGCACTGCAAAGAGCAAACCTCAGTGCTACAACCAATCTCTTGAAACATGCTATTCATGATCTGCAGTGCTCCTGAAGGCTTAAGGACTATGATTTCTACCAGTGTAGGCTCTGAGACATGGATATGTCGAGATGATGGGAGCACACACCATAGAACAATAGACCAATAAACTGGGATCATCATTCGGAAGGAAAATGAAGGAAACAAACCTCTAATTTCAGCTTCACCTTCCAGAATCGAACCATGCGACGACCATGTGCTTGGTCCGAAGCCGGGGTAATCTTCAAAGGACAACTTGTAGAACTTATAACAGGGAACCCACAAAGTGACCCCAAAGCAAATGAACACGTTAAAACCTTGTCATCTATTTGCCAAACACTCTATAATTGATTATCGCCTAGTTGATAATAGCATCGGAAGAATGTCAATGTTGATTTGGGGGGCCACAAGGCCACTTATTCCAATTGATTGATTTGATTGATCAAGGAGTGAATCGCGCTCTTCCTTAGGCCGCTAGGCCCGCTAGGCTAGGCCGCTGGATGTCGCTGGGGTACTCTGCGTTGGCCTCTTGAGCAACAGGCTTGAGCGCAGCGAAGGCCTGGCGCTGCTGTCGAGGAGTAAGCTTGTCCTTGGCCGTCGAGCCCGGCGTGGATCATGGTGGATCATGGCGGTCTGCGGAACACACCTCCAGCACCCCTTGTTGAAGCTCTGTGTAGCTGAGATCTTGGCATCTGGTGACTGCAGCCAAGCAAACATCACAACGGAGTCGGCACCAAAGTTTGCAATCGCTGAACCCTTCTCAGCCAGTGCAAAAAACGTGTAACGTGGTGTTCCGAGTGTTGGGAAGATTGCCAGGACACAAGATTGTTTAAAAGACGTGCCCATCTCTTGCTGGAGTTCTGAGCAATGGCAAAAAATTGTAGGCTATATATATATATAATACATACATGAAGCTACATTCCGAAGAGTCCCGCAAGCTCGATGAACATTGATCAAAGGATGGGTAACCAAAAGCACCGCTTGGTCACGGCTGGTCGGTGGAGGAGCATGGGATCAACTGCTGCGTTTGGTCCCGGTTCGCTGTGAAACGACACGCCCAACGACTCCATTGCCAAAGCTCAACCTGTAAGCCGCCAAGTCCAACGATTGTGCCGGGCCGCATCGACTCAGGGAGGAACATTGACAAAAAGATCAAAAAAATACAAAAAGTTCTGCAAGCACTGGATAGACCCAGAGAAATCAGGCTGGCTGGCGATGTCATCAGATTCTAGACTAGGTTCATGTGGGAGGTCCATATCGTCAGAGAAATCGTGCAAACTTGCTGGTGGACCCCATGTGCTGAAGATCTCATCGAAGTCCCACCCGGCCGTTGCCCACCTGGGTCACTTCGCCCAGCAGGCGCCGGGCGTCCTCAGGACCATCGGAGGCCACGTCCAAACACACCAGCACGGCCTGGGCGGCCTTTAAATAGCCGGTGAGTGCCTCAGGCGAAGGGCGAAGGAGGTCGTGTGAGGTCGACTGCGTTGTATCGACAGTGTCTGTGTCTTCCGAGTCAAGCTGTGTGTGGACATGCATGTTCGGCCAACATCAGCCTGGGATGCAGTCATCACGAACTCACAAGGACTCTTCCATCTACACTGCACACTCAATAGATTCGTGGATCACGACTGAAACACTGCAAGCAATGCTTGGCTAGGCAATGTATACTTCATGTTATGCACCCTGAAATATGCTGAAATAGTGGCAATGACTCAATCCACCAAACACCGAAAGTGCTCCCTGCCTGCTGTCGGCTCAAACCAGAAGGCTCCCATATCCGTACGCGGCCCCGGGTGAAGGTGCTGGGCTGTGAGCGCATCTGCACACGGCTCACGCGCAGGTCGGTGCCCAGAAAGGGGACCTTGCCACATGATTGGTGAATGGTGAAATGGTCGAAGTCTAGGCTGAAGATGCCAGCATGAAGATGTTGCAGGAATTTGCAGGATGCCATTCGTTGATTCTTCGGATTCTAAAGGCAACATGGCAACACAAACTCCGCAAGAGGAGCCGTATTTACTGGTGCATCCGCTGAGGGAGAAAACAAAAAATCTATATATATATATATAAACGTTCATCCCCACCAAGCTGCCTTGTTCAAGCCTTCAGGCGGATGACCGGTGCAAAAGCGCTGAACCAGCCAAGTTTTACCACTTAAAGGGCTGCCAGTGACGAGGATTGCAGCTTGCCAGTCATGTGCTCCAGAATCTATTGCAGGGTCACCTGAAGGTCACTGAGTCCGTCAGAAAAATGCTCCACGAGTCCAAGGCTAAACGGCTAAACTTAAGAGCCTGTTGCGATCCATGAAAAAAATCAGTGGTGCTGCAGTCCACAGACCCGTATTTAGCCAACATGCGCCAAACCTCAGCAGACATGTTCTGCTAAAGTCACTGCTATCCAAGCAAATCCTTCCATTCTGCGGCTGCCGCATTGCCAAGCGCCACAAAGAAGGCACAGCCGCCTGACTATAATGAGAGACAAAAAGGATCACCCTTCAAAACGTGCCATCTGTTATATGTGGCAATCAACTTCATCTTCAAGTTCTATACCCCCGTATGTCCCAAAGCGATCAGCTCAGTGCTAAGAAATCAAACAAGCCGGCCACTTATGACTTGCGCAGCAAGTCATACAGCAGTCACATGGAAATGGCCAGATTGAACAAAGGGGCTATCTATTTCCTGCAGAATTGGCGTGCCAATAGTAAAAACCAAGAAGCTTTGCACGATCGCTCAGGATATTGTGACAAGTAACCTCAGTCATCCAAAAGTGCAGTGCCTTAAGATGCCTTAAGTAGCTCCTAGATAAGGCCAACTGCCCAGCTTGGTGGGTGTGATGTCACGAAGTAGTTCGTGTAGTTCCACCTATACAAATGTACACGTCTTACATTCAATGGATGAAAAGTCTCGTTTCATCTTGTCAATTTGCGTTTGACCCACCGATACCCACTGCGCCACCGCCGTTTTCTCCACAAGTCACATTGGCGCCAAAGCTCCTCGCGGTCCAGGTCTTTCAGCTGCCGCGTCGTGGCCAGGAGCTGCCGTGCAGCAACACCTCGCCACCGATGCGGAGCGATGCGGAGCGGCGCAAAGCGATGCGAAGCGAAGAAGCATTGGCGCGAAGTGAGGCAGCTGGAGCAAGCATTGAAGCCCCATGGCGATAGACCATCTACACTCTACACATCTAATTAGTAATTTGATTGGCTCTTGCCTTTTCCTTGAAAGACTAGTTTAAAATAATTGTATGGATTATATGCAGAGTAGGTGCTCTCCCATGAGTTCGTCGTCCGAGTTCGTTCCAAATCCTGTCTATCCTTTCCTTTTTCGTGCAGGGCGCATGGTAGGAAGCCAAAGGCCACTGTCAGCAAGGCACCTCAGGTGGTGCTTCGCTGGCAGTGCAGCTTCAGCCAGGGAGAAGAGCACTCAAACAAAAAAGAGGCCTAGGGGCATGGTCAAAATGTCACGGTAGGGCTACTGTGACTGGGGGTGCGACTGGGTTACATGAGAGAATGAAACTTTCAGCCCGCAGTTCTCACACAAAATGAATGCCATGCGACCAGAGATCACAGCATCTGCATTTGCTGCCCCTCCATCCGCCATGACATCATCACTCAAGGAATGTCTTGCTTTGCCCGCAGACTCGTCTCACCATGTCTAGCATCCTCCAAGACAGTCCAACACGTCACGACGTCTGTGTCTTGCTCAACATGCAAGACAATGAGGCTTTCGAGGACACCCAGGTGATGGTTGGATTTGTGCTCAAAGTTGAAAGTGTGCCTCTAATTCTTGCCTCTTGCACTTATTTGGCACAAGCTGTTTGAGCTTTGCGAAAGGCCATTGCAAGAAGCTGTCATGCTTGAGAAGAGGTCTGTGATGCCAAGTCGCAGCTGTCATGTACCAGGTAAAGGTGTGTTTTGCTCCTGGAGTTCAAGGCCTACATTGCCTACGTAGTGTGCAGAATAAGAAATTCACCTGCAGTGGAATGTGGATCCTCATGAACGCTGGCTATGCCTGGTCTTTCTCATGTGGGCCATGCATGGCCTACGAAATCGACTGGCCAGGCGCGGCGTCACCTCCAGAAGATGTTTGAAGGAATCTTCATCGCTTGTCGATGGGGCACCTTGTACGCACGGAGGCTTCTGGCTGGTCCATACATCTTCCAACCAAGATGTCTTGCCGTCTTGGTCTTCCAGATTGCCCCTAGTTTTGACAGCGCTTGCACAAAGATGATCTGAGATGAAGGAACCAACAGGACTCAAACTCACAACATAAAATAAGGCAAAAGGAGATTCCTGAAGGCATCGTGGAAAAGATGCTACAGCGCATCGCCGGAGAGACTTTAAGCAACGTCTAGTGGACCAGCTTGGGCCCCCCAAGCGAGTGTTCTGAACTTGTCCTCTTCTTCTGACACTTCCTCACCTTAAGCTCCACCACCATTTGCGAGTTGGGATTCATTTGCTTGTAATAGCCCCACTGCTGACCGTAGTTTCTTGTGAGGAAGCTCCGGTTGTGGTTGGGAAAGCGTACTGCCGTCAAGAGTCAAGAGGTGGCAGAGGTCCAGAGAAAAAAAATAAAATATTACCAAACAAATCCACACCAAAGAGATCCAAAGAACCCAAGAACTGTTTGGACAATACTTTTTTACTTTTGTCAACAATACATATATCCTAGACATGGCTTTTGTGGGATATAGACAGTACAGCACTATATGGCAGTTGAATAGATGTTGCATTCAACAAGTGGCTTCCAAAACCATGTCCCATTCGACAGGGCAACATTTCCAGGTGCTGGGCTTGCTTGCAACAGTGGAGTCTCCATCGATTTGATTGATGCCTTATTAAAAAAGAAAAACTCAGCATCACCGTGGCTCGCAGCCAGAGGCATAAAAACACATAAAAACGTGTCTCAAACCAATCTCTGCCATCACTTAGGGCATCAAACTTCTGTTTTTGGTGGGTCCCAGAACATGCCGTTTGACACATTGGGTGGAGCGGAAGATTCAATCCTCGAAAGCACAAACGACGTGAAAAAAATGAGCCATCAATCTGCGTCTAAACGGACTGCTTTATGGCTGTCTCATTACAGTATTCCTGCCTGTCTAGCAACTCCCTTGGAGGATGATTTGCTTTCTCGAGATTCCTCCTGCAACGGCTGGCCCAGCAGCATCATTGACCATCTTTCTGTCTTTTTCGCTAGACTCTCCCTACATCACGCCCTTGAACCCAAATGCATTGCGCATCAGGGCCCCACCGCGATACAACTATATATATATAATTCTAAGCTTGTGCCATCATGGTGCAGAATATGCACCGCACAGTTTATGCCGGTGTTTGTGGCCTGTGATGTTGGCATGCCGGTCTTAGCACCCTAGTCCTGCATGGTCTTGGCATTCTGCAATCGCACCGGAGCCTGAAAGAGCCAAACTCTGGCAACTTTCAACAAGTTTGGTTGCAGCTATTTCATGACAGTTCGCACTGCAAAGTTGGCACTGCGATCCAGGGTGCTAAATGCAACCCGTCTACTGATACAAACAACTTGACTGCTGAGATCAAGAACCATGGCCTCCGGCACTATGGCGCAGGAGGACTGATTCTCAATGAAGACCTGCCAGCAGCTCAGGTTTTGGCTATATAAGTGCGCCAAGCCATGAGTTAATGAGGGCTCCAGCTGCATCACCTTCATTCAGAAAGCAATCGGAAGCCTGTTGACCCGGTCGCTTCGCGCTGAGGTTCCGGCGTTGCACCGGGGATGTTTGCGGGCTGCGGTGGCTACGGCCTGTGAGCAGTTGACAGACTGAGTTCGCCAAGCAAACGAAGGAAGGACAAAACACCTGGACTGAGCGAGTTTCAATTGTAAGGAAGAGACCGCAACTTGATGCAACATTGCAATATGATGTGAATCCTAGGGTCTGGTGGCTCAAGAATATGCCCCAAGAGCTGCATTTGGAAAAGGGCCAATTCAAAGGCCACCAAGGTCGTTTCCAAGTGGGATTCATGATATGTATATATGTATATATACTGTAAAAATATATGAATATATGTTATATGTATATGAATAATGATTTGTCTGGTTTTCTTCTCAGGATGAATGAACAGCATGAACTCACACACCCGTCGTGTAACAGCCTCCACTTCCAGCGGCACCGGCAGCGGTGCTCGAAGCCCACTGATCACATTGAAGGAGCGCTCCACCAAAAATATCTCAGGACCGGTCGGGTGAGAACCGAGCCATAAGGATTGGCACCGCTACCAGCATCTACTAGCCATAGCATGTGACAGTTGAGTGCGTCCGCGAGAAACATCACTCATAGCCAGCTTGCAACTAGAGTGTTAGAGTTCTTAAGGTTCGGAGCGTCATGCCTTTTCTGTGGGCAGACATCTCAACCTTCCAGGCACTCACAACACTCTTTACTAAGTCTTTCTCAAGTTCTTTCTTGATGCTCCCGAGCACTTGCTCTCTCTCCTACTCTCTCTCTCTCTCTCAGATAGCCTGACCCTGACCGGCACAACAAACCGAAAACGTCAACTCGCGGGGTGTCCTCTTCAGTCTCCCATCTAAGTTCAGGGCTTCTCCTGCATCCAGATTGGACTCAATGCGCTCCTGTCTGACGAGATGGGAAGAAACTAGTGTGTATATGTAAATATATATTATAGAGAGAGAGAGAGATGTAGAAGAATAAAGAATACACGTGAATACACTATATAGACTATAGGCAAAACCTGTACCATATGTATATATGGAATTATAGTGTATAAAGAGAGAGAGAGAGAGAGAGCCACCCCCCAAAAAGTATACAGCAGTTCGTGAAACACTTGGCCCAGCAATACTTGGTCACATCAAGGTGGACAACGATGGACGTGACTGCCGGTCAGGCGTGTCATGAAAGTGTCCGGTGCACGTATCCGGAAAAGTTGATCTCAAGACCCTGTAATTACATCAGAATCACCCTTGAACATGGAGTAGTGAGTAGTGATTGAGTAGTGTGGCTGCTTTGATTTGAGTCACATCTTCCGTGGGTCAGTAGGTCGCGAGAGCATCCAGTCCACGTCGAACAGGGCGCCCTGGCCATGGGAATTCCATTGCGCGAGCAAAAGCCTGCATAGCACAGCTCCAGATCCTCACCAAGGAGAGTGGAAGGTTTGGGGTGTTGTGATGTGCCCTGTCAGGGCAACACACTTTGCCCACACAAAAAGCTGCATCAGCCTTATCAGGTGGGCATGTGATCCTAAATTATCACAATTGGGGCTTTTGATGGTTTTTGCAAAGCCAAGTTTGTCTTGAGGAACCCTTCGTGGCCAAAATGTGCTGGATTTGGTACACAAAATGTAACATGCACGCATGATTTGAGAAAGAAGCTGTACACATGCTCAAGGGTTGCACTTGGCAAAGTGGGTGCAAGTGTGATCCAAATTCTTGGTGCCCCACTCTTGAACGCAACACATTCAAACAGCTCGGGAGCAGCATGCGAATTGCTCGCTCCCCGATCCCCCAACACAAACCACCAGCACAAGCGAACCTGCAAAAGCACTGGCCGTACAAGAAGGAATTGCCCACTGCAAGCGACCTGGATTTCACCGCGTCTTCGAAGAAAATACATTGCATTACATGATGAAACTTGAGGTGTTCCCCGAGCGATTTTTTCTCCGCGATGTCTTGGACAAAGGGTCTTGTTGCACAAACTTGACACACAATGCTCAGGGATAGCCAGCGGTCGGCACTTGCTGAACTACATGCTATTGCTTCAAATTCCGTTTCATTCGGCTTTCGCTCTTCCCCTTCCATCGCTAAATCATCAGTACAGTATCTTAGTGTTGAACACCATCATCGAGGCGTAGGTCCCACTCTTTCTTCATCAGGCCACCAACAAGGCACGCACATAGGGGAGTCATCCTCCAAACCGGTTGCAACCAAACAAACCTTTGGCATACGAAAAAGAGAAACCAAACACAGCAAGCGTACCAAACCAGGCCTTTTCAACCAACTGTCTGTCTCCGAAAAACCGACCGGGATCATGTTTGCTCGGCAGACCGCATCGGTGGAGCCGTATCACCCCTTGGGCCCAAGCAATCTCATGGCTCCCGAGCGGCTTGGCCTGACAATTCGACATTCACACACTCACTGGCGGTCGTCCAAATCCATTCCAATGGGACCCAGATTCCCAATCCAACCCAAATGAGTCAAAATGAGATGAGTGTACACAAACCAATGAGAGCACACGAACCCATCCGAATATAAAGGAATAAAGGACCTCTTCTCAAATCGGCAGCCAAGATAGGTCCGATATCGGAGAGGTTGTGGAGACGACAATGTCTTTCATCCTCCAATTCAACATATTATATCAGTATAGCACCTCACAAGTACTGGCCTCCTTACTGGCTTTGTTTGAACAAGGGGTTATAAGCCAGAAGATTGACGACATCATACGCGTGTCAAGTTGACCCAAGAAGAAGCGAAAAGCAAACAGACCGGATGAACTGCTTTATGTGGGCTGACAGCTTCACAGGTTCGCATCGCTCTTCTTCTTATTCTTCTCCTTCTCTTCTTCTTCTTCTTCTTCTATCCAAATGCTAAATCCAAGCGATCGCCGGTCTCTTGGTGCATCTTCAATACATTTGATTGAACATGCTCGAAGACTGAGACTGCAACAGCACAAAACGAGGACATGTGATCGAGTCTGTGGTGCGGGGGCAGTGCCGCTTCCCATGGCTTCGCGTTGCTTGGCTCTGCTGTGCCATCACAAGTCGTCCTCATCTGGGAGTAAGCCATCGCCCTCGCGTTTTGCGAGCTCAGGTGGCGTGTCTGAAAAGTCATGTGTGACCTGCAGGGACAAGTGGGACGTCCAATGGCAACTCCACTGACAAAAAGCAACTGACCACATTACCAGCACAAAACCCATGTACAGTAATCAATCTCAACAAAGAGCCTTCCCACCTCCTTCGACAAGAGTCTGGCATGGGCATGGGTGTGGGGTTTCATCAGACTTGTGCCAAGCCAACCTGGTAGCTACTAGTAGCTTCATGTTTATAGTAGCTACTTGCTCTTAGTAATATGGCCAGGAGCCCCTAGTTAGCGTCCTTGCTCTTAGTAGCGATGCCAGGAGCCCGTTCGTAGCTTCTTGTTACTAGCTCGAAACGTATCATCCCAGACCTTGGTGTGGAGCCACTTGGTCATGTCCTCGGGAGATCGATTTCCAACCTCAGCCGCTCTGCTCAGGAGCCGATGCTACGACACACGAATGACGAAAATGTCCGTGCATCGCTACGAGTAACACTTAATTCCACTTAGCATAATTCACCACAAGCATCCACAAGCTGTCCAGCGGTGGAATGGGCTGCGCAAGGCCACTAATAATGCTGACAGTTGGCATAAAGCTGGACCTGATCCTTGCGACCATCAGGAAATAGTGCAATGGTCGGATATCCGTGCACAATGCCTTGGATGCAACCCCTGATGTTCCGACCACAGAGGCCGAGTCTGAGCTTCACGACAGCCATCTTGATCTCAAACAATCTTAGGGATGTCATGGATGTAAAAACATGTCATGCTCGGCAGTCATGCACAAAGTGACACACCTGGGCTGTCAAAGCCCCGAAAACGATCCCAGCGATAGCCCAATGCCATGTTCGCCTCTTAATCCGAGATTCGCTTCAAAGGGCCCAAATCGTTTTGGGTGCAATCCATCTGCGAGACGACCAAGCTGGACACATGAGCCAAGCGCTTGGCCAACTCCTGCGGGTACGAGGACTAGTGTGAGGGAGTCACACGAATTCGGCACCCTTGGACACACACACACACACCACTATCAGACAATACCACCCAAGTGAAGAACAGTCTTCCACGCGATTTTCCAAGACCCCATGTGGGGATCGGGCCTGGAAGGACGTCAGACTGGAGATTGTGTTTCGTCATGGGCGACCGGGGTGTTCTTTCTGGGCAGCTTGGCCCAAATGCACATCAGAAATCTATGACAATGCCAGGAAACTTGAAATCTTGAAATCGTGGGAACTGGACACCCATCTCTTGCGGGAAATTGTGAGCAAAGACATATCACATATCCATCAGATCAGCAATGCGTGTGAAGGCGCCCAACAACAGTGTGACTATGTTGCTATGATGTTCATCCATGCCATATTCCAACCTTCGCCGATCATCGCATGTTGAGCATGATGAGTTGGACACTCGCATGTTGAGGCGCTTCGTGGATACTGCCACATATTGCTCATAAGATCTATAGGACCAAAGCTGATTGTAGGACATCTTCTCAAGACGACCCCGAGGCACCTGGTACTTGGGCTTGAACCTCTGGCAATGGCCGCACCATGGTGCAAAACAATTCACCAGCACATCTTTCCCGGACTCCTCGCGCACCGGAACCAGATCGAGCAAAACAGGCATCTCACAGTTAAAAAAAACATGTTTTTGTTGCAGTGACAATAAATGAAAACAGCCTGTGAAGGGCAATGAACCTCCTTTTCTCAAAACATTCGAGAACCAGCCATGTCCTCAACGGCCGCCTTCACAGTGGTGCCGACCAAATTACGCACCTGGGTTGCTCACATATCTCACATACACCGGTTAGGGCCGCTAGGCACCATCAGGAGAAGTAGGGATCCCCTTCATCCAACCACTTGGCTGACTTTTGGCACCCTAAGATGCAACAGTAAAATGTTTCTGTATGTTTTTTGGCACGCTTGGCTGATGTTTTGCACTAGCTGTAAAAGTATTGATCTATATACATAGTTGCCTTTGTGACTGGAATGGGTCCCACAAAACTCCAATGACCATGACCACGCCCTGTGATTGAGAGAACCTCCTGACCACCACATCCCCTCATCCTTCCCTCCCTGTTGTGTCTCGGAGCCTGGTACACAACTTGGCACGGCCAGTTAGGCCAGAAAACATGGTTGGCACTAGGTCACAAGATTTCGTGGCAGGCGAAATAAGGATCATGTGCAGATTTCGTGGTGGCGGGAAGCTGTTCTCTCCCCCCCAGCTCAGCACACAATCCGGCCACATTGCAGCGCACGACACTGGCCATTGCAAACAGCACGCACATTTGACAACGGGGCCAAGAAGCAAAGTACGGGACAAAGGACACCAAGGGACCAGCACAAAAAGTTCAACAGCAAGGCCAAGCAACGCAAAGCAAGTCAAGCAAAGGAGCAACGCAAGCAAAAACACAGAACAAAAAATGCAGTAAAAAAAGCAAAGAAACAGAATAACCAAAAAACACAGTAGAAAAAACACAGGCTGAAAATCAATAACAAAAAAAACATAGTATATAAAACATGATACAAGCATAGGCCACAAACAGGGTTAGTCACGGTTAGTCGGTAAGAATTGTTGTTCCCTGCCTCGCACAGCAGCGTAAAGAGCACGACAGCAGGAGGACATGAGGACAACAAAGGGCAAAAAAATGAAGGACAAGAGGAGGATAGCGGCCAGAGGACAACAGGACAAGAGGACGACACAGGGTTGGCCAGCGCGGCCAGAGGACAACGGCAGGACAAGAGGAGGACTAGAGGAGGACAAGACCCGACACAAAGCCTGGACACAGAGTTCAGGGCGCGGCCAGCCAGCGCGGCCAGCCCTTTTTTTTAAAAGAGGGAACCCCAACAGTAAACTGTTTGGGGAATAAGCAGGCAAGAATATCGAGACGCAAAAAGCAAGAACAACAGCAAAAGCAGCTGTATATAAGCAAGAATATTTCTGGAAACGAACATTCGCTGCAAAAGCACATGACACCCATGTGAAAGAAAACAAGTTGTCATGATCAACCCATCAATCAACCCCTGTGCGGTGGGTTGATGAGCGGATGCCCCCCTGACATGTGCTGCCGGTGAGGCGCGTGCATCGTATAGAGGTCCTCCGGTGAGGGCTCTGGCTCGCTGCGGGTGCTGTCTGAGGAGCCTCGAGACATGGTTGAAACGGTGCAGGTGTTCGACGCCGGTGTCGTAGAAAGAGCTCGCGGTCTGGTGGCCTGTGTCTGTGGAATGGTTGGGTATACCATGATACGGCTGTGCCGATGCCCTTTCAGTTCAAGATATCGAAACTTGCGAAGCAGTTCTAAATGCAAGACCGCCAGGGAGAAATAATGTATATAGTTGAGATTTGTTGTGTAAATAGGGCCGATGTAACATGTAAAGAAGCACCCCAAGTAGCAAAAGAAAGAATGGCCGATTTCTGTGTCATCACTTTTGCACAATTGCCAATGATCAATCCGCACGAGCGTGAGGTGTGAAACGAGTCCGGAAACATGGCCAAGCAGCAAGTTAACTTGCGACTGACTGACCAGAAGAATTAAACATATATTTATCAATCATTGACACCAAAGGTGCAGCTCCAAATGGAGGCCATCCCTGATTCGCCACACATCATAAAGGACCAGTTTGGACAAGCTGTGTTTTAATGTCTTTTACTTCTTGTCACAAAATCAGGGGGTCAAGATCGTTCTACCTGGCCTGGCCTATGACCAAAATAGGCCACCTATCTATCTGAGTCACACTGATTTTCAGACTCCTCTCTCCTCGAAGCGGTTGGACAAGATCGCTTGAGCCCAATCGCCAGGATCAAAGGCATGCTCCTCGCCTTGGAGAGAATGGAAGAGCGCGCGCCCATATATATCGGAACATGGTCCACGTCATCCACACCCACACAAAAACAATGCGATTTGGCGGTTTCTGATGCCATTCTTTGTGTGGGTCATATATGTGGTGGACGCTACGCTATGGGGGGGTCGCATGCTGGAACTGTCGCATTCATGCGGACATTCAAATAAAGAGCGCGCTCTGACATCCTCCAACATCAAATATATAATATATATATATATATATAGTTATATATATAGAGTTATATATATATATCTACAGTAACTATATATATATATACGTGTATAGGCATGTATAGACCAGGGATCCCAGGCTGAATCTGAAGATCCCCGACAACTAAAGCACATCCAAAGTCACGGTCCTCAAGCCACTGCAAAGTGGCAGGGTAGGAAGGGTGTGCCTCTCTAGCCCAAGGGGGCGGCACCGCCAAGGAAGGGGGCAGTGAAGCTGCCTGACGTAGGTCCGACATCTGCCGAGAAGAGTA